AACGGCAAAGGGGTCATAACAGTTAGTGGAAATGGGACCCACTAGACTGAACCTGCCGCAGAGTCAAAGCTATCGGTCTGACCTGGCCCCACATCACGATTTCACGTGCTGAATGCTTCAGCCCCCTAGTCAATCTTCCCGCTTTGAAAGACGTGGGAAGTGGGTCCCATTTTGCCACAGTCATCTGACACCTGTCAAGAAACACCACGCTCCCATTTCCCAAATTTGTTTACACTAATTTCTTTTTTTGCTCGTTGAATAATAGAATCATTTCGTTTGTTTGAACTTAATTATATTTTGTTTGCAGTAAATTGATAGTCAAGTGTAAAATTTACTAGTTCATGATGAATTATCGTAATAGAATAGAATATTTTTTATTATATATTTCTTTTATTTTTATTTTTATTTTTTTAACTGAAAAAATATGATCAATAAGGCTTTGTATAACCAACTCCAACGTATTTCGAATCTGATTAAAAAAATAATTTTATGAAGTTTCATTTTCATAAATTCGTATATTATCAAATTATTTTTTAAATAAATATAAATAATAGCTCATAATAAATTAAATTCCTAACATAAGATTTAGAAAAGTAAAAGCTAATACAATAAGTAAAAATATATTAAGCAAGGATTTTGAATCAAGGATTCCTTCTCTCGGCGCATGTTAAGCAAGGATCGCTAACATACGCTGGTAGGGATGGCTCGACAGAAGAAGAGGAACTCCATAGCTAAGATGAAGAGCATGGGTGAAGAAGATAAGGTAGATGAAGATGATACTAGGCTGGTTACACCGGAAACAGGAATTCCCCAAACTCTTGGGTCGATTCAACTGATCCATTGGATGAAAGGAATGGGTAGTGCTCCAACTGTACTGCACGGACAGGAGAGGAAGGAACCAACGGAGCTGGTGAAAATTCAAGCTCTGGTGGTAAAGACACCTACAAATCTAGTACAAAATGAGACTGATATGGCTAAAGCGGCAAGGAAATTAACCTTCTCGACGGGTGTAGGGGTTCCACAACCAACCTTAGCTGAAGTTGTCCAAGATAATAGATCTATACAACAAGGTTTGAAGTTGAATTATTATCCTCATATCATTAAGGACGGAACGAAAATGGTTAGACTGAACTATATAAAAGTGGATGAGCAGAATATGAAGTGGAGGACAAGCTTAATTGGATATGTAATAGGCGGATCTCCTCAATTCAAGGAGATGCTGAAGTTTGTCTATGGGGTATGGCAATTTGTATCGACTCCACAGGTATTACTCCATGACGAAGGTTACTTCATCTTTAAATTTGATTCTGATGATGATAGAGATCTAGTGCTTCGAAATGGGCCATACACCTTCAACAATAGGCCAATGATTTTGAAACAATGGGAGCCAGAATTCCAAATGAGCAAGAAAACTACAAACTATATCCCAGTATGGGTAAATTTCCCTGGGTTGCCTATACAATACTGGACGGTGGAGAATCTGGGAAGAATTGCAAGCTCGATAGGGAATCCAATTTGTACAGACAAATTAACGGCTCAAGAAGCAAGGATATCATATGCACGCATGTTGATCGAAATGGATGTGTCTCAACCATTGCCTGAAACAATGTTGATAGAAACTGTTGATGGTAAACATAGGGAGCAAAAATTGAGTTATGACTGGCAACCATCTTTTTGTCAAGACTGCCTTCAAATTGGGCATGGTACATGGGAATGTAGTGCTCCAGCAGAATTAATAAAGCAACCTGGCCCTGCTCCTAAAGGTCAGGCAGGAAATAGGAAGCAAGGTGAACAACATAGAAGGGGAAGGAAACAAGTCACTAAGTGGATTGCTAAGCCAAAGGCAGACATGGTAACTCCGGAACAAGAAGTAAGGGCTAAACCAAGTAATGAAAATACAACTATATCAGTAGTGATAAGGCAAGAAGTAGTTTCTAGTGAAATTGTACAGAATGAAAATGCTGAATTCTAGGTAGCCAAATCTAAAGAGAAACAGGTGCAAAGCCCTAAGGTAAAAACATCAATAAGGAATGGTCTGTCTGAGGAGAATATTGAAGCTATGCTACATCAAAACAGATTCAGTGCACTAAGAATTCAGGAAAGAGAGGATGCTAGTCAGGCATCTAAGGAAGGAAGAGTACCCCTTGCCCACCCTCCATGATTATTAGCTCATGAATATTAGAGGGCTTAATAAGCCCTATAAGCAGAAAGAACTCAAAACTTTTTTGCTTCAAAATAAAATAACAGTGCTGGGGTGCCTTGAGACAAAAGTGAAAATATGGAATGAAAAAAGAGTTAGAAGGAAAATAGGAAATGAATGGGAAGTGTTTGCAAATTATACACATGCTCCTAGTGGAAGAATATGGATAATGTGAAAGACTCAACAAGTAGACATTAAAATAATACATGCTGGAGCCCAACTGGTGCACTGTGAAGTCTGGGACAAAATCTCAAATTTTAATTGTTGGTTAACTTTTGTGTATGGGTATAATACAATAGCAGAGAGACAGGAAATATGGAGTCAACTAAGACAGATTAACAATACTATGGTGGAGGCTTGGCTTGTGCTAGGAGATTTTAATACTATGCTCTCTGTCACTGATAGAATTAATGGAAACCCTGTCAGCCAGAATGAGGTGGAAGACTTCCAAGCTTGTGTTGAGGACACTAGACTGGGATTGTTGAATAGAAAAAGCTGCCAATGATCATGGTGCAATAAAAGGGAAGCTACTGATAGAATTTACATCAACATTGATTGGGCCTTGGGGAATCCTTACTGGTTCATGAAGTATAGCAACATAGAGGCAGTGTATGATAATTACGGGGTTTCTGATCACTCACCCATAATAGTGTGTACTGAGATCACTAGAAACTATTTGCCTAAGCCATTTAGGCTGCTTACTGTGCTTCTACAGGAGGATGAATTCAGAAAGATGGTTCAAGGGGTGTGGACTCAAAACATAACTGGATATACTATGTATTCAGTCTGGCAGAAATTGCAGGTCCTAGGAAGCAAAGCAAAAGTGATGAACAGAGCTTATAACTCAGTGGAAAAGAGGATTGAAAACCTCAAGGAGCAACTGCAGAAGGTGCAAAAGGAAATTGATGATGATGTATTCAATAATACACTTATTCTAGAGGAGAAAGAGTTATTAATGCAAGTAGATAAATGGGAAGGTATCCAAGAGAAGGTATATAGGTAGAAATCAAGGGCAATGTGGATATCAGCATGGGATTCTAACACAAAGTTTTTCTATGCTCAGCTGAAAGCAAGACAGGCTAGAAACAGAGTGTCTACCATTTGTAATGATCTTGGGCAAAAACTGACTGATCCTATATTGGTAGAACAAGAGTTCATATCATTTTTCAAAGGCTTGCTAGGAACAAGAGCTTCTGAATTGCCCTGTCTTGATATTACAATAGCCAGGAATGGACCTTGTTTGAATAGAGAACAACAACAACATCTTGTCAAGAGTATAACTGAGATGGAGATTGAGCGGGGGCTTAAAAATATGCCAAGTGATAAAGCACCTGGCATTGATGGTTTTCCAGTTGAGTTCTTCAAGAAATATTGGAATATTGTTGGACAAGAAACTATGAAAGCAGTCAAGGAATTCTTTGAGACAGGGAAACTATTAAAGAATGTCAATAGTATTACTATTACATTGGTGCCAAAGGTGACTAGTCCCTCTTTTGTAAAAGAATTTCGACCAATAGCATGTTGTACCACCATATACAAGCTCATTGGAAAAAATTCTTACAACAAGGTTAAAAACAGTGGTGGATATCATAGTAAGACCAGCTCAGTCAGCCTTTATAGAAGGAAGAAACATACTGGACAATATAATTATTGCTCATGAGTTGGTTAAGGGGTATAACAAAAAAGGAGTCTCGCCTAGGTGCATTGTAAAAGTTGACATAAGAAAGGCGTATGATTCAGTTGAATGGCCTTTNCATACTGGATAATGTAATTATTGCTCATGAGTTGGTTAAGGGGTATAACAAAAAAGGAATCTCGCCTAGGTGCATTATAAAAGTTGACATAAGAAAGGCGTATGATTCAGTTGAATGGCCTTTCTTACGTATGGTCTTGCTGGAATATGGGATACCTAATAAAATGGTGCAGTGGATAATGGAATGTGTGACTACTGTGAGCTATTCTATACTAATTAATGGTGGGCTCACTAATAGATTTTAAGCAAGAAAGGGGCTGAGACAAAGGGATCCAATGTCCCCCTACCTGTTTGTGCTAGTGATGGAATATCTGAGTAGAACATTGAAGACTCTTAAAGACATCCCCGACTTCAATTTCTACCCAAGATGTGCAAAGTTGAACCGTACTCATATCTGTTTTGCAGATGATCTGATAATGTGTTGCAGATCTGACAAGATTTCTATTCAACTAATGCTGGATAAGTTCAACCATTTCTCGAAGGTGACTGGGCTCATAGCAAACTTAGACAAGAGTTCTATCTATGTAGCTGGAGTGTCTCAGGGATTTAAAAATATGATTAGTGCAGATTATCAGTTCAAGATGGAAGCCCTACCATTCAAATACTTGGGAGTGCCTTTATCATCAAGAAATTTAACAATTCAGCAATGTATGTCATTAGTGGAGAAGATAACCAACAAAATAAAGTGCTGGACATCAAAGTTTCTATCTTACAGTGGAAGACTACAACTGATAAAGAGTGTCCTATTTGAAATGCAAACATATTGGGGGCAGGTGTTTCTGTTTCCAAAAAAGATCATACAACTAGTGAATACTGTGTGCAGAATATTTATATGGACTGGCAATCAAAACCCTTCAAAGAGAGCATTGATTTCATGGGATAAAATATGTATGCCTACTTCAACTGGTGGACTAAATGTCATTAATTTCTTATGGTGGAACAAAGCAGCAATTTGTAAATTAATGTGGGCTATACATAGAAAAAAAGGATGCACTTTGGATTAAATGAATTCATGTAGTTTATATAAAAAAGCAAGACTTCACTACAATGAGCACTCCTAGTCAAGCTTGCTGGCTGGTAAGGAAAGTATTTGACATAAGAGATTGGTACCTGAGTATAGACTCCTTTGCCAACATTAACAACTATTGTAGGAAAGGGCAGTTCAATATTCAGAAGGCTTACACTTTAGCGAGGCCTCAATTTCAAAAGGTTCACTGGAAAGCCTTAATACTGGGTTCAACTATACCTAGATATAACTTCATCTTATGGCTAGCACTTCACCATAGAATCACCACTGTGGATAGGCTGGCAGCTTGGGGGATACATGTAGCAAGTGGATGTGTATTGTGCAGTAGTGGAAAAACAGAAATAATGGCCCATCTCTTTTTTGAATGTCAATACTCAAGGAATATCTGGAGTATACTACTCAACTGGTTGGGAGAGAGACATCAAATTGGACTTTGGGAAGAGGAAGTCGTATGGTTGACAAAAAGAGCAAAGAATGGTAGACCTCGTAATAGCATATTGGCATTTCTGTTTGCAGCAGTGGTATACCATATATGGACAGAAAGAAACATGCGCAGATTTCAGGGGAGAAAGACTGAAACCAAGAGTAGAATTCGTGACATTGTCCTCCAACTTCATATCAAAGGGCAACAAAAGACTAAATGGAAGAAGATTTTAGAAGGAGTGAATAGCTTTCCTCTATGAATAGTTGATATTATAAGTAGTAGAGGAACTATGGAGATGTAAATAATAGTGTTTTCTGGTTTTTTTTTTTTTTTTTTTTTTTATGGCTAACTCTTTAGTCCAAAGGAGNATATATATATATAAGGTAAAAACTTTTGAACGGTATGTGTGATTGAAATCTTTTTCATATTTAGCAATTATAATAATTTATGTCTATATTGCCCTTATTATAGACCCCTACCACCACCAGGTACGTTAATAAATTACCAAAAAATATCTCCGATATATATGCATTTTTTAGTTTTGTGCCAAAAATATCCTTATTGTCGTATTTTCTCCATGTTCGTTAAACAATTTTTTTAAGAAACGTTTATGCAAAAGAAAAAAAACTTTCTGAGTAATTGCAGTTTTCCCTATTTATGAGTCACTTTGCTATCGAAATTTTTTGAACCCTTTCTAAAATTTTCTACAAAAATACGTTCTTGTTTATTTCTAAAAGGCTCGTTATCTTCAAATATTGAAAAGCTTACCTCAAGATTGTTTATATGAAGCCCAATATATTTAAAATAATAGTAAACGAGAACACTAACTAATGGAGAATTCTCAAACACCACCTTAGATATAATAAGGCTTTATATCTAGTAAATTAAAACTAACATTAAAATGAAAGAAAAAGGAAAAAGGGAAAGCTCAGATGCGCAAGTTTTCGTCCATAGGACAAGGGCGGAGACCCAAATCACCGCATTGAGCGCAGATAAATCATCATAGCAAAACCATTGGAATGCACCAGCCGGGAATCGAACACAGATGTGTACCGTGACAAGGTACTATTCTACTACTAGATCACTAGTGCTTCTTGTTTGTGACATCTTTCAGCGTTAATATGTGATCTCTTTAAGCTTAAAGGCGAAGCTAGAATTTGAAATTTATGAGTTTGGAATTATAGTTATTTTAAGTTATTGGGTTCTAAATTATTATTAATAATAATTTGTGCATATTCAATGAATTTCTTAACATAAATATAGAATTTGGACCAAATTTAATCGGACCCATAGCCGAAGGGCTAGCTCCACCCCTATAGTTACAGTGGTAGTGTAGTACCTTTAACAGATTAAAATAGCACGGGCTAGCCAGTTTTCACACTAGTAATTGAAAAATAGCCAGCGTTTGCAAAGTCATTAAAAAATAGCTATTATTTCGGTACAATACGGAAATTTCTAGCATAATATACTGGAGATTAGAGCACATCTGTATGAACTTCCAGCATATTATATTGGAACTCCAGCACACAGAAAGTTCCAGCATAATATACTGGAGATTGGGGCATCTATGTATGAACTTCCGGCATATTATGCTGGAAATCCAGCAGACGGAAAGTTCCAGCATAATATACTGGAGATTGGAACACCTGTGTATGAACTTACAACATATTATGTTGGAACTCCAGCACATTATGAAACAGCATGTTATGTTGGAAGGTCACATGTAAAAAATTCGAACTCCAGCATATTATGCTGGAATATTTTTCGCATTTTGTATAATGTTTTTGTTCAGATTTATCTTTACATGAAAAGTGGCGAAATTTCGATTACTTTTGAAACTGTAGCTATTTTTCAATTACCACATATAAATCTGACTATTTTTAAATTTCACCCCTTTAACCGTCTAGGCAACAAGTTTCTCCCTCATTTGTAAAATCCCATCATATATAAATGTCTACTTAGTGTAGTAGAACACTACATTATGCAGAGGCGTATCTAATGCAGAAGCTATGTAATTGAACCCATAGCTTTCGTTCGTACCTTATGTTTTTGCCAAAAAGATTATCAAATATGTACAGATAATAAATTTTAAACTCATTAAATTAGATAAAATGCAATAAAATTGTAAATTTGAACCCATAAAAATTAAGTTCTGAATCCGCATCCGACCGGGTGGAAGCTGTGTTGACTGAAATTAAGCCAACGGTTTGGCCAATGTTATGATATGCTTTTTCCTGCAAATTCTGTAACCATTGATATAAGTGCATATCAGTGTACTATTACTATATCAGTGTTACTATTACTATATGAGCGCCATTTACTGTTGCCACATTCTCATGTAGATCAGCATATACTTAAGGCCTTGAAACAAATTAGGGGAAGTTTTAACTATGATTAAATTTAACCTTAAATTGGAGCTCTACTAATGAAACTCGAGTGTGGAAAGAGGTCCACATTTATTCTTAGGTTCTAAGTTTTAAGTTTTAACTATGGTTAAATTTAACCTTAAATTGGAGCACTATTAGAGGTCTATTGCCTAACATATAATAGTAACGTTAGAGTCAAGCTTTAACCAAAGACAAAGTTAATTAATTTTAAATACTACAATAATAGATTCAATCTTTTTTTTACTAAATCTATATGTAGAATGATTTTTATCCCATAAATGAGTTAGGTGTAGGCAAACTAAATTCATCCAAAAAAAAATGATTTCGTCAAAGTAAAATTTGATTTAGGTTTAGGCAGAAGTCCTTCCTCTCTATTGATTTCGAAATGTTTTAGACTCATAAAATATTACATAATCAAATACATTTATACTTATCACTTAATGAGTTTTTAAAAAGCTAATCTAACGTTAAAAAATCAATATAAATGCCAAAAAGCTCACACGTAAGTTTCTAGTTATTCAATTGTATATACCATATCAATTTCTAGGGTTATTGGGACCAAAAATGTATTTCAATAGCAATATATAAGAGATTTTCGGGTTGGGAAATAAATCTCCAAGAAAAAAGAAGCACCTCCACAAGGAAGTGGCGTCCTGCCACCGGTTCTATCATTGGTCATGTGAAACACATACATAAAGTGCGCGATACAATTTCAACTGAATATTGGCTTGCTTCGCAAGCAAGAATTGTACTTCGTGAAATCATAAGATACTTTTTCAAGTTATTCAATCGAGATAAAGCTTCGTACTGTATTGACATTGACAACTAATGTAACCCTAGTCTGGTACTCGGCCTATGCTTAGAATGTTGCCACATGCAGTTTGATAACTATAATAAAGGAGTTTGTTGGAGCCGATAATTAAATGAAAGACATGCAACACTTACTAGAATACCTTGCAAATCATGATTTTAAGAAGGATCAGCTCACTTATGCAAATTGCAGTTTGGCTAAATTTGTCATTCATGATTTTAAGAAAGATGTGGTATTACTATATCCATTCACTTATGCAGATTGCAGTTTGGCTATATTTGTCATCTACATGCACAATTTGTACAATATAGTGAAAAATATAATAGTGTCACTATCTTGGATAATTACGAAAAGATAATTAATGTCGTATCACGTGTCGACAAATTTAAAGATTATTGGTTTGATCGAATACTGGTTGATGAAAGGATCAGTACCACGTGAAATAATTGATATACAAATATTTAATATAGTTATCGTGGATCACAATTTCAAGGACTTTTAGGGGTGCTGATACTAACAGGACATGCACCAGTACACCAAAATACAAAAGAGATGCATTACTACTTATTAAAATTTAATAAATAATTTAATATATTTTTTCTCATATATGTATGAGATAATTTAAATATTTCTTAGTACTAGACTTATCCGTCCAGCTTGAAAATATTGAAAATTAATTTTACAATTTTTTTTTCATAATATATTGCATGCCTTGTGGATTATACTCACCTTTGATCCTTTCGAGAGGTACTTGCTCGGGCAACTAGGTGATCCTTACCATATATATATATACATAGAGCAGAATCGTGCAACAGACTTACTTGCAAAGCATGTCGCTCAATAAATTGCTCTAAATTCACTTTTTATGCTTTTGTCACGGCCCAAAATTCTACCAATGGTCGTGATGGCGCCCAACTTGCTTGCTAGACAAGCTATCAGTCAACAACAACAATTTGATCCAATTATTAATTCATTGACTGATTCATGACATAAATGACAACGCGGAATAAACCTCAAATCAAAATCAATATACATAAATCAAAGACATGGTCTAATTACTACCACAACTTCTAAACAACGCCCAAAACCTAGTGTCGCATTGTCACGAGCATCTATCAAGAGTAAGTAAACTCAACCAAATAACAACATTTGTTCGAAAATTAAAATACATAGACAGATATAAACGAGTAGGAAAGAGAGACTCTATGTGCTGCGGGTTGAAGCGAGTAATGCAACTCACCACGAAATCTCCAACAAAATACTCCTACTCAGCTCAAAGGGTATTGCTAATATAGCCTCAAAACCTTCACAAGAATGTCTTGAAGAGTAGTATGAGCACAGTATTTTAGTATAGGGGCGTAAACAAGATTTTTTTAAGCGGTGTCAATATTTATAAAAGTGCGAAGAATAAATAATATTATTTATCATATTACCTAACAAGAAATAGCCTTAGTCCATTGATTCTATTGACTTTTAAGTTAGAAGAGGTCACGAGTTCAATTCTACCTATCTACAATTGTTAACAATGGAGGCTCTCTCAAATATTTGAGCAAAAAAAATGATCTAGTTGAGGTTTGAACCTCCGACCTCTTGCAACAAAATTAGGAACTTAACTAGCATGTCAAACAACAAAATATGTTAAGTGGTATCATTTACTTTACCTTATTATTTTCATATAATATTACTACATATATCTCGTAAAAATTTCCAACGACACTGCTTCGTTCCACGTGCATTCCTCCCTGACTTAGTAAGTATCAAGCCTAGCCTCGCATCCCTCCCTAACTTAGTAAGTTTCAAGTCTAACCTCAAAGAAATAGTAACGAGTATCGATACTAACACTTACTATCAGCTCAAGCATATAAAAATATAATTAAAACATGAAATAAGACATGATATCAATCAAGTCCTATTTCCTAATGTATAATAGTAATACTAGAATCGAACTTTAACGAAAGATAAAGTAACCTAATTTAGAATAATACAATAACAGATTTAATAATTTTTCCTTCTCTTTTATCTACCCAAACTATGATGGCTGAATGTGTATCCCATAAATTAGTTAGGTACAGACAATTAATTCATCAAAAAAAAAAAAAACAAAAAAACAAGTTGGAGATAGCCCAAGGCAATAAGTCAAGTGGGTCCCACCAAATGTATACCGCTTTTATGAGAATACCCATTTCGTACACAAAGTTCTGATCTTTACAGCCCGAGTGGGTCCACCGCCGACGCCTTCGCCGTCCACAATCACCAATCACAGCAACCTATCAAAGTCGTAAACTTCCGAATCTCCGATCGCCGACGACGTCGACGACGGGGTCCATTCCTTCTCCCCTTAGATCCACCAAACCAAAGCTTCCTCTGCACAAATTTGCAAATTTGTCTCCTTTTTTTTTTGGTTCTAGAAGCTTCCTGAAAATTATCAATCTTCGTTCGTCTCTGTATCTCAAATTAGCTCATCAAATGAACGAAGTGCTAACAGCCGCTGATGCATCTTCGAGTGCGCGGTCGTATTCATCGCAGCCGTCGATTTCACCTGCTAATGTCCCCCTCGTTTCAGCATTCCTTGCCTGTGCTATTGCTCAGTTCCTCAAGCTCTTCACCACCTGGTAAAAACGCCCGTCATATTTTTACTTCTTATGATATGTAATGCTAATTTTATGAGTTCGTCGGAACCTAGTAGCTTTGGCTCAAAATATATCTGTTAAAAAATTCATTTAATAAGTACGAATAATAGATCTCTAACCTAGTAAATTAAACGAACTGTCGTAAAATCCTGGTCTCGAGCCTATAAAGTTCAACCTTTGTCCGCCTTGTATTGACAGAATCAAGGTTGTCTTTTTAGTCTTTATCTGCTTATGCTTCATTATAACTCAGTAGCTTTGGCTCAGCGGTTGTATATGCGTTAAAACTCTGTTCCAATTTATGTGATAATCTCCCTTTTAGTGTGTTCCAGAAAAGAAATATTTCTATATTTAGAAACAATTTAACTTTAAACTTCCTAATTTTCCCTTAATGAGATGAATTATAGCCTCCCAAATATTTCTGACTTGTTTTAGACCACAAGTTTCTAAAGTCTTTCTTTTTCTCTTAAACCAGTTGTCCAGTTAAAATGCACCACATAAATTGGGATGCAGGAGTAATAGATCTCTAACCCAGTAAATTAAATGAGGTGTGGTAAAATCCGGAACTTGAACCTATTAAGTTCAAATCTTGGATTCGCCTGTGTATCGCCTTTAGTGACAAAGTCGAGCATTGTCTTTTTAGTCTTTAGCTGCTTATGCCTTTTAATTCGGCCTTTCTTCTTAAATTTTATTTCTAGGCATAATGACTAGTATCAAATGTAGTGGAAGAGTTAGTAGATGAGGTTTCATTAAAGAAAGAAAGATGATGCCTTTCATATTGTTGTCTGTGGATATGTTCAAAAAAAGTTGTTGATATTATAGCAGTCATTATATTGTTTAAACTGCCTTTGAAACTGGAAGTTGCTGCAAATTGACGCCGACTGGGCGAGCGATTGAGGTTTAGGTTGTTGAATTTCTAGAGAAAATAGGATATAGTGAAATACTGATCCTCAAGAAAGTTCGAAGATATTGATTGTTTGAGAAGATCAAAATAAAATTTATAGGAAGGTTTTGAAACCTGCTAACACAATCAGTTAAAAGAACGGTAGATAAAAGGATAATGACCCCTCCATATCTTTTTTCCAATGATGTAGGTGTCCAATCAATACGCACACCTCTACTAATACACTGCACAGCATGCTAGAGTGTGCAAGCATAGGTGCTGGATAAACTTGCCCATCTAAGTTGGGGCGGATGGGCTCACATTGAGTATTGAAGCAGGGTTGGGATCTCTAAGTTTTTATCCTATGTCTTAATCACTAGCCATCCCCTTGGTGATAATGATCCTTTTGTATCTAGTATGTTGTTATTTCAGTGTTTAAGCTTTAGTAAAGCTTTTAGCTTGGTGGATACATCTCCCCTGACTCAAATATAAACAATTGGTTTTTTCTTGTCACGCCCCGAATCTGGGCCTGGACGTAGCACGACACCCGGTGCCTGACTACATGCAGCCGGGCGAACCAACTGGCTGGCTGAATCAACATGTGATATCATAACATACTGATTACGGAAGATAAATTAACAAATGCTGATATACTGAAAGTCTGAATGATATAAATCAATATGCGGAAACACTAACATAAGTCTGAAGTATATTGTAGCCAACATTGCTTAACATGAAAAGCCTGTGACTCTGTCTAACTGTTACTCTAGTCTATGAAGCCTCTAATGAAGTAATGAAAACACTGACTGTTCGTAAATTTCTAAAATACTGTAAAGTAATGATAATGCACCGAAAGAACTGGGGCTCACCAAATAGCTTGAATCCTAACGCTCTAAATCGTCAACCTGTAAATCATTACCTGCATCGGGCCCCGGGCAAAACGGGACGTCAGTACATTTGAATTGCACTGGTATGTAAAACAACTGAAAGAAAGAACTATAAATGCTGAAACTGAAACTAAATTGAGTACTGATAATTGAAGTGATAACTAATATCTGATAACTGAAACGATAACTGTTGAAAATGAAACTGAAATGATACCTGATAACTAAAAACTGAAATGATACCTGATAACTAAAATGATAAAGGAACTGATAACTGAACTGAACAAAGGAAGTAAGGATATGAATACTCCCTCTTCTGAATGATGAACAACCTGTTTATATGAATTAGGGGTGGCATGTGGGCCGGTCCCGGTCCTAAGTGGGCTGCACAGGCCCGGTCCTAAGTAGGCCGGTCCTAGGCGGGCCCGGGCTTCGCGGGCTTCTTGTTGGAACCGGTCCGGGACCGGGACCACGAACTAACGGTCCCGTGTTAAGTGGGCCGGTCCTGGGCCCAAACGGTCCTAAGCGGGCCCAAGTGGATACTTTCTATTTTTTAAATTATTTTTATACAAGTTAGAGAAAAAAATGGTAATAAAAATATCTAAGGCAATTCCTAGTAAATTATATTATAGAATTGTCACTTAAATTTTTTAATTCAAATTTAAAGACAAAAATATTGTAAAGAGATATTCAAAGCAATGCGTTATAATATATATACTATACTATACTATATATACATCTTAAGATATATAAGCTATATTCGATTTACTATATATATATCTTAAGATTTATACATTAATATTC